AAAAAGCAACAACAACTCCGCCCCCCCCCCCCCCCAACAAACCAAAAACTCCAAAACCAAACCAAAATTCAGGCCAGAATAGTCTAAAACTCACTTATTCCCTTTCTGGGAAATATTTACATGTGCTATGTAAATGTGTAACTTGAAAGGAAACAAGTTTTGCTATGATGTGGTGATTCTTGGTGAACCTTTCCTCCCCGCCTCCCTCTTTCCTCTCTTAAGTATCTGCTCTCACAGATGAGATTAATCCATATACAACCAGTTTTAGTGACCAGTTCGAATTCAATGTCCAAATATCAATATCTGAATTGCTATTGTTTTCTCTGTGGGTCTCTAACGGACAGAAAGCATTAAAGCAGACAATGACACCCCACTGGCTACTTGAGAAATAACTGAAAAAGTGGGTAGAACAGTGCAATAAAGGGGGTTAAGGAATATAAGGGTTCATTTAGCTCCAACACCAGTGGTACTGGCCCCTGCTGGAGGTAGGACCCTGGTTAAGCTACAGACCCAACCTACTACCTTGCCATCTTGTTTTAAGATGGTTGGAAACTGTGCTCCGTAGTAAGACTGTCAACAGACTTACACTCCACTCAGCTAGCAAAATATACTCGGGAGGTACAATTTCATTCTATCTTCATTTTGTTGGTAGCAGCTTTAATACTCCATTACTCTCCTTTAATTACTCCCCTATCTCAGATGGATGAAAGCGTTAAAACAATGTGCCAGCTGCTACGGTTTCTCTACCCATCTTGTTCCATCACAATAAACAAACATCACTGCTTTTTACCAGCAGCTTATAGAAACTGATGCTGAAACATTTTACCTGTCGAAATGATTCTTCTTCCTGATCCTCCAGGACAGAGTTCTCATCAAAATCAATTTCACGATCGTACATTTGCATATTGTACTCCTTCCAAGAAAGTAATCCATCACCATCTTTGTCATAGTCGTTGAAGTGTTGCTTAGCTTCTTGTGTAACATAATGTTTAAAAGACTGCTGTATCCAGGAGCTCAGCTCATCTGTGAAAATCATTAAAAAATAATAAAATGTAAAAAATCAGAATCATCTGCACTATAAAAACTGTAAAAGATACCACAGGTCTGTTCAGTCTGGAACATACTCTGCAAATCAGATGTAAGCATATAGGGAAGAGGTTACTTAAAGCAAAACAATCTGTTTACGCTATGGCTTTCTTTTCCAAGTTAACTGAATGAGAGAATAGATCACAGCTTCAGTTTTCTTTGGTAGTACCATTTCCCCATGGATACCCTTAGACTAGAGTTACATGGTGGCTTTAATACGGCCTATACAGGTGCTGCCAGAAAAAGTGTGATACACCTGGGGAATGGCAGGTAAAAATGATTACAGATAGTGTTCACATTGCTGCACAGCAGAGTGAATCACCAGAAACTTCTCTAAGTTTTCAGCTGAGAAATTGCCCTTCCTGAGCTCACTGGGACCTGGACAAGGGAAGCTGCAGCCTGACCCTTCTGGTGCCTGCTGACAGGAATGTCAGCTTGCAGTGATGATGTGGCCACACCTTTCAAATCTGAAGCCAAATGACGCTGTCGCTCCTTTCATCTTTTAATCATTTTTTTTGTCTTCAGGTCTTTATAAAAAATGATGCTGAATATGGTTTAAACAGACAACTCTAAACATGACTTGGTACCCCAAAAAGACATTGTTCCCATCTGTTTTGGGTTTCTTCTAAAAAATCCACCAACTACCATACAATTAATCAAGCCTTATGTATTCTGGAAATGCCTTTAAGCTACTTGTTTTTATAGAAATGTGGTGAAAAGAAATAAAGCTTAATATACAGATGAATTCACATAAATACATCAAAGTTACTTCCTTTAAAGAAGATGGGGAGAACATACTTTCTCAGGTACCTGGAAGGGGAAGACAACTTCCTCAGCATTGCAAAATACTGCTAAATCAACTCATCTGCAATCCTGCTCTAAAAAGTCCTGATGACTACTAAAATATCCTACAGAATTCTACTTAAGAAAAACCTTACAGCATTTTTTAGATACCAAAATATCTTATTCTATCCTTCTTGACAGAAGCGTCAAAGGAGTTTCAATACAGCTTTATGAGGTTTATTTAAATGCCTTTGAAAAGCAGCAAGAGATTTTTAAAAATATACTCTGAATACTGAATTTGAATTACCAAAGGAACCAACTTTCTAACAGATTCAGTGAATTGATTCAATGTGCAGAGGCGTGCATGCCATGGCTTGTGCTGAAGCTTTGTGCACAAAACCAGCACTGCCTTACAAGAACCTGCAACGCGACTTCTTAAAGATGGGCAGCATCTAATTTATAGCATGGTTTTATTCCCAGCATTTAAGGCATGAGGCACAACCATCTGAACATGTCATGTCCAGTGCCATTAATCAGAAATACTTAATGCTCTGACATTAGAGAAGCAGTATTCATACATCACATCTTCTGTCACTGTTAGCCTCCAAGCAGAGGCACGACTAACAAGAAGAAATTCTCAAAGAATGTTTTGCAATACACTGAGAAATAAATGAGCTGAAAAAGCTTCAATACTATAAACTTTTTACTGTAAAAACACATTCCACTGTGAGTTTTCCTTTGAGAAGTGAAGGGAAGGCAAGTTTCCATTGGACTTGATAAGGATGGAGTATGGGTTGTATTTCTGCATTTTAAATAGACCTCTTCCCTTATAGCTTTCCCATTGTGAACTGCCTGTTGCTTGTCACAGGGATAAGCCAGCCCACTGAAGTCATATACTACCTCACCTCTACCCAGTCAGAGGCTGGAACACTGAAGTAAGAGTGCCGTTGATTAGTTTCAGCATATGAAGTGAAAGACATTCAAGAGATAGAGTTGATCTTGTCTATATTTTATCCTCTCACCTAGAAAGCTTCCTGCATGTCCAATATCATGTTAATGAAATATCACTGTTCCAGTGTTTGAACAAGGATTCTACTTGCTCTCTGTGTGCGCACTTGAGAGACTTTCATTTTTGTCAAAATCACAGCAAAACAACAAAAATACATTTTAATAGTGAGGTTTTAAATTAAAAAAGAAAAAGCATCATGAAGTACTGAAAGGAAGGGCCTGAGTTTACTGTGGAGTTCACAAGTTTGACTGATAAAAATCTGTCTGAGACATTTGATACCACATAGTGATGGAATGAATACATGATCTCTCAGTGTCAGTTAGTGTCACCAGGTACTGAAACTCATGTATGTAGGACTATGCCCGCAGTGCCCTTTCTTCGCCTCTTAAACTTGCTCCGAGTGGCACAACCAGGATTTCAAGCACAGAAACCCACTTGATTCAAAGTGGCTTCGGACGTGCAAGGAGCAGGTACGAGCACAAAGCTGGTGCTTGCAACTTGGTTTTGCTCTGAGCCACGCTCACTCACGCCTGTGCGATCTCCTGGGCTTCTTCCACTGCCTAAAAGCGAAGCCCAAGGGACTAAGACATCCTCTGTGTATGTATCTGTCTGTATGTCCTCTGCCGGTGTTCCTAGTGCGCTGAGCTAGAGGGTTGTTAGGTGTTTCACGGGGGTTCTCCACAGCGTCACTGCCACGGGCAGAGCGTGTCTTTTCCTCCTCACGGCACCGGGCCAGACCTGGGGCACGGACAAAGCCCGGTCCTGGCCCGGGTAAACCCCG